GGGACCCACTGATTACCTGACTGAAATTGGATGACAAGTACCGTTTTTGTTTAGACCACAACGAATGTTTTCATCGCCTGTGTTGTTGTCAGGAGTTGATTTCCCGATCCATTCGATGATATTGAGAATTATATCTTTCTATTTACATATATATTATCTATTCTTCCAATTTATAAATCAAATTTCTATAATTATTCTGAGATTTACCTTAAATATAACATTAAATATATTTAATACAATATAATATTATTTGATTCTATATATGTACATATTTTCTTCTAATCATTGGCACCTCAACTAAAGCAGCTTTGATCTTATCCTATTTTTTCAGTTATTACAATATATTCTCTCCACATTCTAAATTTTTCTGCTACACTGAGAATAATTATAATCGTGAAGATTAGCATTAAGATTAATATCCATTTCACAAATATGCTCGTAGAACTGTTAGTTTCTCCTCTGTTCTCCTCGTTTCCCTATCATCACAAACAATAATGAGAAGAAAACAAGAATCAAAGACATAAATTTAAAAGATTTTCGTGAAAAGTAATGTGTCTATGTGTGTGTGTGTATATATATATTTCGGTACATATGCATTGGTTTTATGATAAATCACCTTAAAAGCTTCAGATGTAGTCAAGCACTTTTCAGGCTGTCTCACAATATATATTTGATCACCATGCCTATCTTCCTTGTAAATATCCTGATTTCTGTGCCATGTCCATAATGCATAAGTTGAATTCACAACCTGCATATCATCAATTGAACAGTTTATAATATCCCTCAAAATGTGTACACATACATATCACATATATATATATATATGATTGTTTGTCTTGTAGAGAAAGATTTAAAAATAACTTAACCATGAATTTACCAATTATGAGTTAGATGCATTAACCATTCTGTCACGGATGCTTGGCAAGAATTTTCATAAATGGTGAATAATTAAATTCCAATTGAAATGAAATCTTTAGAATAAATCAATGTAAATTAGGAAGAATCAATGAAATGATATCGATTAAAATTCTAAATTTTTAAAATGAAAGAGATTAAAAAATTTTACTAT